ATGTAAAAATTATTATTCTTTAAAAGAGTTAGTGCTTTATATACAAGTCCTTTTACCCTTCTTATTGTTATTGAAACTTCTTAAGTACAATCTTTACATATAATCTAAGCACCATCAGATAATTTTAGTTTTTCCTCAATCATCAAACATTTTAAATACCAGAGACAAGCTGGTGCTTAACCAGATATTAACCATTTCTCCTGCCTTGACTTGATTCCACATTTCCCAAGTTTCTTTCTTATGTCAGTTCCTTTTGATATTATATCATTTCTATCCTTAGCATTTTTTGAAGAATACTTTTACAGACAATGACTTCTCTTTGTTTTCCTTTATGTCAGAATTTATTTCACCTTTAATCACAAAGGGCTGAGGTGAATCTGTTACACCCAGATTTTATAATTTCTGAAGAGAAATTATCATTCTTTGTTCCCGTTAGTGAATCATCTGCCTGCATATAAAATTTTGTCTTTACCTTTAGCTTTCAGCAATTTTATTATGTGTCTTGCTATAGATTTCCTTCATTTTTCCTGTTGGGGGTTTTCTGAGCTTTCAAAATCTGTACCTTTGACAAAATTTAGGAAATCTTCAGCCATTATTTCTAAAAGTATTTTTGTTGCAACATACACAATGTCATACCTTGTGGAATTGTTCCAGAAATCTCAAAGCTTTGTTTTCTATCTCCTTTTTAAAAAAAAATGATCCTTATTCTTTTTTCTTTTATAAAGACTTATTTATTCATACAGAACTGAGGTACAAGCCAGAGGTGCAGGGGCGGTAAGAGAATTCAACAGAGACAGAGTGGGGTGCAGAACAGGCAGAAATAATGAAGTACACTGCTGAGGGGAGCAGTGGGTGGGTCAGGAGAGGTCTGCTGCACCATGTGGGTCACCTCCAGGGCTGACTGAAGCAGCTTTGGCTAGCCACCAGGGAGGACCCTCTATCTTCTTTTTTGGTTGTTGTATAATTACTTTTTCTCTGTCTTCAAGTTCACTCATACTCCTCTGTCATTTCTATTTGTTATTGGTCTTACCCAGTGAGATAGGTATTTTCCCTAACTCACTGTGAAAAAGTGAGTACATTTTTCAATTCTGAAACTTCTGTGTGGTTCCTCTTTGTATTTTGTGCCATGTGGGTCACCTCCCTGGCCAGGGTTTGAACTCTTGGTGCAGTAGCAACAGATAGCTTCATTGTGCTGTGCTTTAACCCCTTGGCCACCAGGGAGGTCTTAACTTCTGTCTTTAAGTCTGTTTCTCTTACCAATTTTATTCCATTGTTATGCCCATTAAGTAAATTTTTCACTTCAGACATTGTACTTTTTGGCTTTAGATTTGCATGTTTTTTGTGGCTTCCATTTCTCTACTGAGACTTTTCACCTATAATCATTGTTACCATGTTTTCTTTTAAGTACTTGAACATTTAAAGATTCATTTAAAAAAATTTTTCTTCTCATTTCATGTATCTGCCCCACCTCAGAAACATTTTCTTTTGATGTTTTTTTCACAAATATCTGCACACTTTTCTAACTTGCTTTTTTTTTTCTATTGTATGCTTGACATTGTTGTCCTTCTTTAGTTGGTATTTGATTTATTTTTGTAAATTTCTTTTAGCCTGTCTCATTTTTGTTCTTTGTTACAGCATGTTTTACAGGTAAACACCTATTTGGATTTTACATGAAGGCCTTTCTATATCTCAGATTGAATGCCTACAATGCTTAATGAGGCCTCTCCACCCCCACTGAGCAGCAACTGTAATGTCAACTCTTTATGACATGCAGTAGGCAATATCTGCTCGGCTCTACAGAGTCTTTTATGTCTGTCTTGAGCCTCGCTCTTGGCCAAGGCCTGAAGGTGAATCTCCACACAGTTAGTCGGACCACACTGTTCACAACTACCTATTTTCATAGATGCTGCCCTGCCATTTTCAGCTGCTTCAACAGCCCAAAATGCCATTCTCTCCTCCTTAATTAAGGCTGCTGTTCTCTTGGGTTCTAATTTCTTTCAAAAAAGTGCCCTTTAGCAGGAAAAAAAAAAAAAACAGGATAACTACAGGGTAGTTGGGGAGCATATCTTGTGATGTCCTTATCTGAAAGATTGCTGCTATATGGTGCCTATTGTCCAGTGTCTTAAAAGATTTGCTTTATAATTTTGTTCTGTCAGAGATCTTTCAGCAGGACAATAAATCAGATACCTATTACTCTCTTATAGCTGGAAGCAGATCTTGGATGTACATTAACATAATAAATGCACACTGAGGCTTAAATCACTGACATTATATTGTGTCCAAAAAGCACAACTTATGGCAAAGAATAGGCAAACTTGTGATTAGTATACATTTTAGGAGTGGTTAAAGTGGAGGGGCAGTGTTTTCAAGGGCACTGTAAACTTTCCATTGCAAACTTAACCTATGTTATTATGCATATGACCCTCTTAGTTGGGTAGACTTTATTTAATGTTAGATAGCCTACATATTCTATGTTTTAATCTAAAGTTATATATTTTTACATTCTAAACTTTAACAAAAATACGTGATTTTGTTATCTGATAATATATACTCTGTGTTGTTATGTATATGATATTTGTAGGCTTAGAAAGTTTAAAGGATCTATTTTTTTCCTTTCCCATCCTGGGCCTGTCCTATTAATCAAAAAGGTCTCTTAAGATCACTGATGTTGGAGAGACTGGGGGACGTTGAATCACTAGTTAGTGAGTAGCTAAATTGGCCCTAGGAAGAAGTCAGCCTGAAAGACAAATAACTATTTGGTTGAAGAAGTACTCCATTTTTAAAGGGTGGAGATGGTTTGGTAGTAAATTAGTTCTCTCTGCCCTGGGAGATTAGACAAACAATAGATCTAACTAAGAAAATAGACTGACTCATTTGGCTACAATGCTACACTGAAGTTACAAGCAAACTCACAATGTCCAGAAAGTGAATTGGGTTCTGTATACTGTAAATGAGTTTTACAGTCAATTCTGAGATTTCTCATTGAATAAACCAAAACTCAAATGTTAAAACCAGAGATACAAAGGCACTCTGAGCCCTGTCTCCCTTTGCCTGATCACTTGCTAGAACAAGGCTGAAATAACACTTCATTATTTACTAACTCTTCTTTCGGATGTTATTTATTATCATTATTATTATCAGTTACAAAAGAAGTGAGGTTTGCAATAATCTTTCCTCCTAATTTTCTTGGGCATTTTCCAGCTTCTTCCAGAAGTGAATACACTATCATCAAAGTGAGGTACAGATGAGGAGAGAGAAGAGTCAGATCTGCTGGGGAGGAAGAGAAATTGTACAGGGCTAAGTAATAGGTCATAAGTGAACAGGGGTGGAGAATGGTGGAAATGGAATCACAGATCTGGAAGAGACTAGTCATCTGGTCCACATTGGCTCAAGACAGGTCAGGAAGGGGTGTTTTGGGTGGACCTTGTTTCGCATTTGGATTTCACTTTTCTTAAACTTTGTCAACCTTTGCCTTTCACCAAGCCTGATTTCCTCCTTGCAAGTCATTGGCACATCTCCTGCACTGGGATGAAGCCCTTTAGCGTGCCTTTAATTACTTCAGGGGATGAACGGTTCTTTTTCCAGGAGGTCTGTTTCAGGTTTAGGTCATTCCATTGGCCTCACCAACAACAGAAGGGCAGATCTCCTGGCCCCTCAGTTAATCCCCCGGGTGGAAAGGAAGTGCCTCTCAGCTGATGGTCACACTCCACATTTTTCTAAGTCCCCTCAGCTGTGAGGACACACTGTGCTGAGGTGGGTGGGACTGTGAATGGAGAAGTTGTGTAGGTAGTTTCAGGTCTTATTGTCTAGGAGCTAGGCACAGGACTGCTGACTTCTCTCAGCACCCACATCCACACCCCTAGTTTATTCGCTGCTAGAAATGAAGTTTTGGCAACTTATGGTTCCCTCTGGGGCCACCCATCTCTTCTACACGTTCCACACGTCTGGATTTACTGTAAAGGACTGGACAATGGAGGGCGGAAGTAAATTTCAGCTAATTTCTTCATCCAGGCGAGAGGTTTATGAACATTAGCATGGAGAGGTAAATGAGATTTTTTTTTTTTTTTTTGCGTTCCGGTGCCTATCACATCCCTCCCTGTGTCCCCACACTCCACACCAGCCTGTGCTCACACTGAGAGCAGAAACGCCCCCCATACACTGCCCCACGCCCTCCCAGCCCCTCCCTCGCAGCCAGCACAGACCGAACAGAACTTCCCCTGGGTCGTGGCCCAGCGATATGGAGCGGCCCTGGCACTGAGCCCTGCTTTTCCCGAGTCGTGGGTGGCGCGGTGCTTGTTTGCCTCCCCTCCCTTTCCGGACCCAAACGGGGATGTATCTGGGTCAGCCTGGGAGGGGCCGGACCTGCCGGGGACCAGCGGGGGAAAAGGGGTGGTGATGACAGCATCTTTCAGGTTTTTGGCGTTTCTGAGGTTCCCTGGTCCAGCCCCTCACTGCACTCACACCCAGCGAAAGCTGATGCTCAGGCCGTCCAGGCCCGAGGAGTCTGGGCGCGGGGGGAGCGCACCCGTCCTTCGTATCTGAACGCCACCCTCCACGCCCTGCGAACAATGCAGCGCCCACCCCCACCCGCACACATTCCGCATCTGCCAAGACACGCTCCCAGGCGGCGGGTCCCTCCGCCCCAGGAAAAGAGCAATGGAACAGTTCACGGCCGCCGCGAGTTCCTGGTCTTCCTTCCTTTCCGGTGATAAACGGCGGGGCTACACGCCAGTTGCTGCTCAAGATGCTCCACCCGCGGGCCTGAACGCCTCTCTCTCTCTCTCTCTCTCCGTCTCTCTCTGCCTCTCCCCCCACTCCTCCCACCCGCTCTTGCTCTCCCCCTCTCCGATCTGTGGGGGCCCAGCTGCAGGATCCGGGGTCCTTGTACCTCAGACAAGCGCAGAGGTTGGGCGCCCGGCGGCGGGAGGCTTCCTCCCAGCGAGCACCGAGGAATCAAGGCCACGGGTCTTCCTTTCCCCAGGCCTGACCCCTCCCTCCCCACCCTGCCCTGCAAAGACCCTGCAGCTCCACGTTTACAAGTGCTCGCCCTTCCTCTCGGTGTCAGGGAAAGGAGCGGGCAATGAGTTGAGACTCATAATCCTGGGTTCTTGCATCCTGCACACAGATAGCTCATCTTCTCGCGCCCCCCACACTGCACGGCCGGAGACTTCTGTTCGCCGAGGCCAGTCTCGCCTAACCGGAACGCGAATTCCTGTGGCTGGAGCCCACGGATGATGCTCGCTGGCCGGGAGCTTCCCGAAAGGTGTCTGCCTCCCCAGGTGCTCGAGGCCACGCTGAGGGGCTCCTCCTTCCGCGCCTCACCTCACCCCCAGACATCTCTTGCCACCACCTCGCCCACCCTTGTCTAAACCCCCGCGCCCCCCGCCCCCGGGCGCAGCGCCCCCTCCCTCGGCTGCGCCCGGGCGGGGAGCTGAACGGACAGGGGCGCGCGGGAGGCGCGCAGAGCTCTCCGGCTGCCGGCGCTCGCCACGCCTGGGGAATTGGGCTGTGGGCGAGGCGGCTGAGGCTGGCCTTTATCGCTCGCCCCCTGGTCGTTTGAAACTTTATCAGCGAGTCTCGCCACTAGCCGCAGACGCGAGCGGGGGGCGGGGGCGCGGCGCGGCGCCGGCGGCCGTGACTGGGCGCTCCCGGCGCTGAGCGCTTCTGCTCGGGGCACGCATGGCGCCCGCACAAGGAGTCTGACCTGATGCGGACGCAAGGGGGTTAATATGAACGCCCCTGTCGGTGGAATCTGGCTTTGGCTCCCTCTGCTCTTGACCTGGCTCACCCCTGAGGTCAGCTCTTCATGGTGGTAAGTACTCTCGCGCGCACGCGGGCGCAGGGGGACTTTGGACATGGGATTGGGGTCACCACTGGCCACAGAGATCCTTCCAGAGGGCGCTTTGCGGAGGCCGCAGTTGCCACAGATTCTAGCCTGGCTGCTGCCCTATCTTATTGCTCTAACCTGAGCTCCTTCACTTTTCCACGAAAGACCATTTTAGCTTTGACAACTCAAAAAAAAAAAAGCCATCTACCCATATTACCCCCTCAAATGCAAATGAGACCTCAGATGTTTGGTTTATTTGGATCAGCAAATTTCTTAGCCCATTGAGAGAGGCACTAGCTGTGTCTCTAGCCATGGTATGTGTTTGGTGTGTGTGTGTGGGGGGGGTGTTCGTTCACCTTGAAAACCATACCCCCCCCAAAATTGCCATTACAGGCAGTCAAGAGCTATAGAACCCAAAGCAGGTGATTTTTGCTTTATTTCCCGTCCTTCCACATTCCAAATGCTTCACCCCAGTGGGGCAGTGCATTTGCTGCCTCCGGGAAGAGAGGAAGCCTTAAGGGGAAGTTCCAGAGCCCGAGGCTCTAAAAAATTCCGATTAAAACCCATTCAACCCAGAGTAACTTTGCTGCTGTCCTTTGTACATAGCTGTGCGATTTATTTATTTAGCAAAGTGAAGGCACACTGAAATGTAACAGGTTTTAGCATCATCTCTACAAGCCCAGGAGAGGACAGAGAAGAGTTTCTGGGTGGGAGAGATCTATCTCCCAACCTTAGCTTGAAAAGATAGGTAGTTGAGAGCTTTGTAATGTCCTTGTATCTACAAATGACTCTGAAAGGCTGTCCTGTGAGTTGATTTTAAAGAATCTGGCAAAAGTAAGGATTCTCAGGCAAAGGGAGGACTAGAGCAGGGAGCTTCAGGACATCAGAGCTCTTCAAGGCAAAGCGTTGATGGGAAGAGTAAAGTCGATTCTTTCCTAAGCCACTTTGAACAGGAAGGCATTTAGCCTTGACACTGCCGACACAGGATCAAAGATTGATTTATCAGAGTAACCATTTTTCAATAAAATGACTATTTCTGTTTCCTTGGGTGTATAAACATTATTTATTGCATGGGCTTTTTGTCACATTGTCTCTCAGCTGTCACTTAAATATATTTTTTAAAAGTCACAGCTGTAACGATTTTATGATCATAGAAAATAATGAAAATACAAGAAAAAGACATTCTCCTTATTTGATCGCTTCAAAAGACACCTATGGCAGCTTGGGTTATATAAAAGGTACCTTTCTAAACATTTCACAACTAATAGAGAACATCTGGGTAGAGATGATGATGTAATTTTTTGTTAAAGTTTCTTTTCAAAAGTACTTTATGGAGCTATAACACTGTTTGATTCTTCCAAACATTTAGTGTCCTTAATAACAATAGAATTTTTTCCAAAGGCTTTCCATAAAAGCCAAGAGGCGCTGGTGGAAAATGGAAATATTTAAAGGATTCTTTAGTAAGTTAAGAACAGCATGTCTGTGATGAGAGCGTCACCTTAGATACCAGCAGGTGTTGATTAGATAAATAAGGACAGTTTCTTAAGACAGCTCAACATTAGGTCCAACACATAGGAGCTGGGAACTTCTAAAGGTCAGCATCCCCCAAAGCCAAGTTCAGACACATTGTGCCATGGAGAGCAGAGTTTTGGGGGCTACATCTTTGAATCACTCTTCCCCACACACTTTGCCTCTTCCCCAGTCAGTCTGTCTCCTGACTTCAGACTATGCCTCTGCTGTCCCGCCCAGAGCACCCCCTGGTGGCCCTGACTTCGTGTCCAAGAGCCAGACTTGACTCCAGATCTCTTCTGCCCCTCACTCTTCATGCCTGACTTGCCACTAAAATTAAATCATCTTTGCTTTCTCCGATCACCAAAAGGAGAAGGAATTTATGTTCCCAAAGTGCTTTGAACTCTTAGGGCTCCTGGGAAAACACCGGGCCTCACTGTTGATGGTGCTCTCACCTCTGTGGGTGTTTCCCAGGTACATGAAAGCTGCAGGCGGCTCCTCCAGGGTGATGTGTGACAATGTGCCAGGCCTGGTGAGCCGCCAGCGACAGCTGTGCCACCGACACCCGGACGTGATGCGTGCCATCGGCTTCGGCGTCGCAGAGTGGACAGCAGAATGCCAGCACCAGTTTCGCCAGCACCGCTGGAACTGCAACACCCTGGACAGGGATCACAGCCTCTTCGGCAGGGTCCTGCTCCGAAGTAAGTCTCCTGCCCTCCTGCAGCTCCACACGCTCTCCTCCACGCACACTCCCTTCCCTTGGTCGGCAAAGTCCCCGCTCAGCTTTCCTTGCACTTGCACTTCATTCATTCCAAAATTTGCTGTTAGGTGGCATTGGCCCCGGTTGTATGGGATGAGAGAAATCAAGGGACTTCATCTAAAAAGTTGCAGGAGGCTGGTCAAAGTTAGGCTGCAGCCCAAGCTGGTGGCTTTCCACTCTTTGCTCTTTCCATCTGTCACACACTACAACTGCCCGTCCCTCCAGATTTAGATGTTGGCTCTAGGAGGAAGCAGGCAGAAGATTCTTTTGATCTGTTTTACTCTTCTGAGATTTCAATCCTCCAGAAGGATTGGAGCAGGAGATCAGGATGGAACACCCTTATCTGTTTTGTACATGGATCGTCATTATTACAAAACGCCATCTGAGTGTCATTGAGAAGTAGAAACAACTCTCTGCCCAATACCTGTGACCTTGATTCTGCTGCTCAGCCAGAGTCACTCCGTGTCCACCTTCAATGCTTTTCTATAGGGCAGGTCTTAGCCAGACTTCCCTGTACCAGCTCACTTAGTACACTAAGTGTTGCGGCACCGTTTATTCACTGAATGGTTGAGTGAATGAACAGACAGACTCATAGGGTGCCAGGCACATTGTAGGCAAGGGAAGGTTAGGGACCATGAATACATCTATTTTCTGTTTACTTAGAAGGAGCATTAAACACTATCTACTTACATAATAAACCTCTTAAAAGTTCTGAATAAGGAAAGTAGCTCACTAGCTGATAAATATTCTGAGAAAATTAATTTAAAACTAGATTCTATTAAAAGAAACCTATCACTTAATCTGACATTATTAACACAATGAACTTGGCATTATCTTCAAGAAATAGTATGACCCATTTGCTCTTGGGAAATCTGAAAACAGATTTCTGAAAATGCAGCAGCTTATAGATGAACCCCAGAAACAGGAAACTTTACACTTGTTTTTGCCCACTCCCCCCCTTAGTAAGAAAATCATTCAAGCTATGCACTTGGTAATGCTTAACAGAGGGTGTTTCTATCATGTAATCATCACAGCCCTAGGGTTTTATGAGGCCAAATGCATAACTGACTGTCTCTAAAATCCCCCAAGGGCGTAGTACTCTCACTCTCCGTGTATCCCTAAAGTTAATTTACTGCAATATTCTGCAATTTTATTCTCTAGTTTAAGAATTATATTCTTCTGCATTCCTCTTGGACTTTCAATATGATACTGCAAATTTTTGAAAGGTTAATAGTTAATTTCAGCTGCATGCTTCTTTAAGATTGCACCTACATTACTCACTAATGAATCAGTTAAAGTGCTGGACCTTATTTAAGAGACATTGCAAATACTAGAATGAGTTAATCTCTGGATGTATTGTTTATAGGTGCTCAAATTTTAAGATGTATTAGGATTTTTCTTCGTTAGAGTCCTCACAATCATTTTACAGTATCACAAATTAAATGTATTTCTCATTTATAGAATGATCACCTTTAGATTCTATCTATGGAAATCCATTAAGATGTCTTTGCCTTTAGAAACGAAAAGAAGCACCTTTTGGTCACAAATCAAAAGAACCAAATTTGACCACTGATGCTGAAGACAGTGGATCTATGGAAATGGAGGATTCATTCACAAAATATTTTAGCTTAATCTGGTCAATATTCGCTTCTTCAGAATCCTAGAGTTGCTAAGAGGTCAGTGGTTAAAACTAGAAGTAGCAGAGATAGTTAGACTTAGTCTGGCACCTCAGGTTAATAAGGGATCCTGACTTCTTGTAGTTCCTTCAGATTTCTTGCAGATGAAGCTGAATGCTTTGCCAGAGTACTCAAAACTTAAAACATTCATGCTACACAATTTCTTTCCATTCTTTACAGAGGCCAGATTTCTTCCTGGACTTTTATGTAAACTGCTGTGACTGTCAGTGACGATTTTGTGTTGGGTATAGGAGGGCTGATTTGGCCTAATATAGCATATCCTGGAAATAATCATGAAATTCCAACAAAACTATCCAAAGATTTTTACAATTAATTGCTTGGAGAGAAAAATCACATCTCAAGTTGTGTAGAACTCTCCTTTGGAAATCTAAATGCCCTCATAGGGGAATAGGAAAGGCAAAGGGCACCCGCACGTCTAGGACAAGCATGAAGCTATTGACATATGCATGATTGCAGAGAAATGGAGAACATTATCTCCCTTGCCCACACAGCTGGAGTAAAACGAACCATTTTTTAAGGAACATTTGTAATTCACTCATTCAATGGACTATCACCAGTCACAGGCTCAAAAACCTGTGACAGAATAAATCCCAAAATACTGCTGTAAGAATATGCCTCCAGAATTCCAGAAAAAGCCTTTAAAAAAAAATGGTGATTAGCTCTCATCCTTGAAAATGTCAAAGGGGGAAAAAAAAAAAACCCCAGCATTTTAAAAGGGAGTTGAATAACCCTATAACCTTCTAGAAGCCTCGCTTCTAGCTTTTGCCCTCTTAGGCATCAGTCCCCCACCCCAAAGAAAAGCTATGCCTGTGAACTTGGTAGACATTTCTTCACTTATCTCAATCCAAAAATTAGACTCTTTAATAGTAACACATCAGAAAGTATAAACATCACCATTTAGATTAGGATTTTGTTTCATTTTGTGATGACTTTAAAAGGAATCAGTTTTTCTAAGAAGAGGCCCAAGATCAAAATTTGTTTTGTTACAAAGCCAATGCTCGAAATGTGCTACTATTTCACACATAGCATTTTAGTGATTCATCTAAGATACTTAAGTGAAAACATCTTAGGGCTGTATCTACACAATACTAAAACATCTGGAGGTAAAATATAGAGTCATTCATTATGTGACCATTTAATTTAAATAAACAGTTGTCTCTTTAGTAAAGTGTTTGAATAATAAACGACAAAGGTGCTACTTTTGTTTTGGAATTTTTCTCTGAAATGTAGATTTCAGTGATTTTTTTTTCCATTCAATTAACAAGCTGATGTTAATTGTTTGCAGTTTACATCAGGATGAATTCTGAACCTAGACAACTTCTACTACTTTCAAAATACTGTCTGCTTGTTAACATCCTATCATCAACATCGTCTATACCTTTGTCCTAAAAGACCACCTCACAAAATTTCTTTTTTTCTTAAAAAAATAAACTAGGGCTAACTACATAAGCATTCCAGAGTTTTCCTCTATGTCCTATCTCTAAAATGTGGGCACTAGATACCAAATCCAAAGCCAGGCTTTAGCTGATTAATAGTAAAACTCCATACAAGGTATTTTCCTCAGCCATAAAGTAGCATCAAACAAGTTTTACTTACCCATTAGCCACTACCTGAGATTACTTCATATTCACCCCCATTAGTTACTTTCATCTATAAAATGTCTCACTTCTGTTTAGAAGATCCGAGATCCTTCTTGTCTGGTGCTCTTTACCATGGGCCCATGGCCATCACTTTTCTCTCTGGAGAGAGCTACCTGCTACCTGTGGCAAATATTCATGTAATTGATTTTACCTAACTACCAGCATGATTGATTCCTTTTTTGATGGTTAGAGGTTTGGGGGAGATATTTTTTGAAGGCTGAGGTAAGTGCCATTTAATATGGTGTAGATATGTTTTCCTGATTTTTAATAATGAGACTAGCAGAGCAAATATTGCAAGGGATGAATAGTAAATTTTAGCACTGAATGACAAACGGAAACAAGCAGAGCTTCCAGACGAAAAGGTGGTTTGTTCTCCCAGCTGTGTGGTTCAAAAAGTCACACTCATCTTGACACACAGAATTGCAAATGGCTCTCTATTTTCTGCTCTGCATTGGCACTAGGTTGTTCAGCTTCTGCTTTGATTGTTAATATTTTTGCTGCAGCAACCAATAATAAAAAGGCATACTAATAACAATGAAATACAGCTCCGCTTGAAAAATGAGGTGCACACGGACCCTACAGAGCCTTATATCTGTCACTATACCACAACACTGTGTTATGAGTTACTACAGATTATTAAAATAATTTAATGTAGTTATTGCCCTGAAATATGTACCTTTCAGCCTGTAAGTGAAAGTAGCCTGTGCTCTAATAAAGAACAATTCTAGGCAAGTACCCCAAAGGGTTCTTACCCAAGTCTAATTATAGGCGGTAAATTTGTTTCCTTCCAGAAAAACCAAAGAAAAGCTTTTCACTGTCTTTTACCCAATACCAGTGATTAGTGCAGGTGTTCCAGAAGAAAGTAAATTCACCTTAATAGTTAGACATAGTATGTAACTCAAGGATATTGCAGGCTGCCTTCAACAGTCTCTCACTTGTGAAAGTTGATGCCAAAGCGTCAAAGCATCAGTGCGCAGGCTGCTCACTGCCTGAGTTCTCACCCCAGATTTCTTTGAATTCAGTATTTCACTTTCAAACATTTAAATGGATACACACCTCCTTGGTTTTGCCTAGAGGCATGGAAGCTTTTGGTTTTTGTTTGTTTCCCAAAGATTGCTGAATACCAAAGTAGGTTGTGATAGACGCCATTGTAGGATTCTAACTGTAGATCACAAATGAGGACACTGAGGCCCACTGATGTCAGCACCTCTCTCCTCAGGCTCGTGGTATTCCAGGTGAGAGCAAGTATATGTGTGAGGTGACAAGGAAGCAGGCCACAGCAGGTTTCTGCTGCCTTAGCTGACATATGCTTGTCCAACTGACAACAGCTTATCTTTAGATGGACACGGTTCATATTCAGGCAAACACCTTGGCTCTAGAAAAGAGCCCTTGGAGAGGACGAGAGCCATTGTGCCCAAGGAGGAAGCCTGGGGAGGCCGAGCAGGCACTCATGGCCATTGCGTGCAGTTATTCAGAACTAGCAATTCCAGACCATGTTTAAGAAAAGCCTTTTTGTTTCAGGTAGTCGGGAGTCTGCCTTTGTTTACGCCATCTCCTCAGCTGGAGTTGTATTTGCCATCACCAGGGCCTGTAGCCAAGGAGAATTAAAGTCCTGCTCCTGTGATCCAAAGAAGAAGGGCACCACCAAGGACAGCAAGGGAACTTTCGATTGGGGCGGCTGCAGTGATAACATTGACTATGGGATCAAGTTTGCCCGAGCGTTTGTGGATGCCAAGGAAAGGCGAGGGAAGGATGCCAGAGCCCTGATGAATCTCCACAACAACAGAGCCGGCAGGAAGGTATGGATGGCAAGGGGGTCTGTTCTGTAGGTGGCGTGGTGTTAGAAGGCACTTAAACTTTCCTCGAGCAGAATTGAGATCTGGTCACAACTTCCCACTGCCTCCCAACCCAGAGCTGTTTGTGCAAAAGAATACCACCAACTGGGCTGAACATCCCCACCCACATTCCACCTTCCTTCCCACTGCTGAGTTGAAGGAGCCCACCCATTGCTTTTGGCAGGTAGAATCAAGTGTTTATAGGCCCTTCAGACACCGTATCATCCCGACAGAAGGGCTTTCTGTGGGTTAGAATAGTGCTTCATCCCCCACACAATGGCACACTGAATGCTTGATCTGAGCGATGTCAAAACTCGGAGCATCTGCTCTCAAAGTCATGACTGCAACTCACAGGCTGCTCAGCTTCTTCTAGATTAAGGGAATCTCTTCTTAGAATTAGTTCCACTCTCGCTCATAAAAACTCATCCAGCACCAGAAACCACAAGGAAGATAAATGGATCTGGGGAAGACATGACCCCAAAGGGGGATTCTGGCCCCTTCTCTAGTGCTGGCAAACCCTGGCCTGGGGGATCTAGCCAGTGTCATAACTTTCTACCTCCCATTTGCTAGATGAGAAAACAGGGGCTTAGGTACTCAAGAACACACAGTCAGTAGAAAAGTCAGGACTAGAACTCAGATTTCTTTCCCAGGGGTGCTTTGGCCAAATATTAAACTGTTTCCCTATTGGTGTTCAGCTCCATCAGTGAAACATGCCTTTCTACAGGGTGTATGACAAGACTAATCAGAGAATCTGAGTGCTATACCTTATGCTTTGTATAAAAGCATAAACTGGCTGGGCTAATCAGATGTTTTTTCAGAACCATTCTGGAGTAATCTAATTACAAATGGAAGAGATAACCATAATTGTGTTTAATCAAGAAGCACAAAATAAAAATGTGCTTGATATTAATATATAAAGAAAGATCAGCATAAAATTAAAGATTCCCTGAGGGTCTTTTAATAGGAAAAATAAAAGGAATGCAGATCTGTTTGGATGAAAACCCTTTAGCTAGGCTCAGGAAGGAAACAAAGCTCATTTAAAGAGGTTGGAAGGAGAGAATTCTTGCTTAGCACATGGAATAAGATGAGTGTGACCTGAACTGTTTACAAATAGTAACTTGCTTGAACTTTAAAAATCAACATTCCTTATTTTCATGAATTTATGAACTTATAGTGACGATTGCCAAGACTATAGACAGTGCTTGTGCAATCCTACAACTATGGGTAATTACTGTTTGTGCAATGGTTTGGATTAAAACAATTTACATTGACCTTTGTTTTGACATTGATACCGCATGTATACGTTATAAAGTGTGGTGTCTTTGAAAGGAGCATGCTGCCTAATTATTCAAGCGGTGAATCTTAGTTAGATGTCTCAGACTATTTATAGAGATAAGGGCATATGGTCATACACTGTACCCAAAAGAATGTTGACTTATCAAAATAAATGTTAATTTTGCTTAATGGGTCATTAGATAGTGAATGTTTCGACTCTTCAAGACAATAGAACTTAGCTGCTATAATGTAGGTACTGAATAAACATGACTTTGAATGCAGATCACATGATTCCACCCTATGTAGAGGTGAACAGCTGTCAAGCCTCAGATATTCTCCTGCCTACTCTGCAGAACTTAGGAGGCTACTTTTGATTGGAATAAAAGTGCACACACTGACTTTTTAAAATGTGGCTTTAATTAATGGTGGGTGGGCAGACTTTTTCAAGGAGATGCATGATGTCAGTGAATATGAACTTTAATGAGAGTAAATGTATTGAGATAAACATGCGTCTCTAATTCTCTTCTTGCGGTCATTAGACCCCAGTCTCTACTCCCCCCCTTTGTACCAGCAGAAGGTCTGTGGAATCAAAATGAGAACAGGCTGGGCTTGTGTTTGAAGGCAGGCCTCCTCCTGAGCTAAGTTTCCAACTGGGCCAGCTCTAGAAGACTCCAGACTCCCAATACTGACAGCGGCATCAGACCTTCCTTTATTTTCTTTTTAGTGTTTTTCAGGATTTCCCAAATTGTCCAATATGAACATCTTCTACTTTTAAAGTTGGAGCAGTGGGCCAAAATATTGTACTTGAAACAAAAACCATGTATTCCAAGATTACTCTGACTGATGCTGTCAGTACTTAATATAAATATGTAATTCAACACAACCATTCACAATGGGTCTTAGTTTTGCCCTAAAATGTGAACAGTTTATTCATTTATAATAGCAGCTGGCTAGAGCACCCTCATGTGTCTCTGTACTGTAATATCATTTTGGACTCTGTGCTGATACATCATTTAATTTTAATCATAGCTTCAACAGAATTTGTGTTATATTTCCTTCATATTTACTTGAAATATCATCCGTGAGTATAGTTTTCCTCCCCATATAAGACTAGTAAGTCCTAAAATGATAATATCTACTTTGTTCAAAACATTAGCTCAAGAAGCTTATTACACGACTTCTCTCAATACTTCTTTCTAGATCAAAAGATGCTATGAAAACTATATTTTAAGACAGATGTAGGTCAACTACATGTGACAGGTACTAGTTTGACATCCGCCATTTGCCCTTTCATAAGTTTGAAAAAGATTTCAAAATTATCCACTCCTTTCTCTAGATGAATCATCACAACCTCTTTGAACTTTTCTAAGAGAATCTGTATCAAAATAATCTCTGTATCAAAGTAATCTATGAAGCCAGATACTAATCTTCAATCACTGGAAATATTCTTAATTAAAATAAGAGGAATTCTATAAAAATACTTTCTTCAAAAGATATCTTTACTATAGGAAAATAGAAGATAGGATGTGAAATCACACTTACCTTAATTTTAATCTTGCAATACCTGTGGCTTCACTGAATCTCAGTTTTTCTTGTATGTAAGACAATATTCTCTGGTGCTATGGGGACACAAGAGTAAGACAAAAACTACAAATCTATACAAAAAAACTTCCAAAGCTCCTTACCCTTTAATGAAGGGAAGGTTAATTGTAACTTAGGTAACAGCATTAGGTACAAATCCAATTTGAACTATTACTTAGGATTCTATTTGATTGTCCCATGCATTCACAGACTTTGTTACAGTTTAAAATGCCAATACAGAAAACAGGCAAACAGTGTTTGCTAATATACAAAATACCGTCAAGTGTTTTGTAATTAAATCTTCCAAAACCCCCTACAGCAATAAAAACCAAAATAAGCATTCTGAATTTTCAGATGAGAAACTGGGTCTCAGAGGGATAAAGCGACTACCCCAACCCAAGGTCACACAATCATGAAAGGTAGGATTGGGGGTTCAAGCCCAGTTCTGTTCAACCTCAGTCCTTATTTACCTTTGCTTGTCTAGTGAAAATGTCTTAGTGTGTGTGTGTATATATGTATACACACACACATTCATAAATGTATCTCTCTATATATACACATATATAAACATTGACAGCTTCCCTTGGAAGGTAGTTACTGATGACCTTCTTGCTTTTTGTGTCTTTTATTTCACAAGTTTTCTAAAATGATTGTGTATTATTTTTCTTAACAACAGGGGGACAGTTGTTTTAAATGCCAGAAACCTAACTGTTGGCTTGAAGCAACTTAACCTTATTTGGTGGATTCACAATATTTTAACTAATAGGACTGCAAGTTTGAGAGCCTTATGCTTTTGTTCTGTTGGATTAAATGTGGTTCAAGGAATTACTTTGGGAAAGGCACTCTTTGGGCTGCTATGTCAGATATGGAAAGAAATAAGACAAGCCCCTAACCACAAGAAGCTAAATTTTAGCCAGACAGATAACTGAAACTCAAATGCAAGGCAAGCTCTCTACTAATACAATAGAAAAATTAGCCAAAGGGCCTATTAGTTGCAGAGAGAAAGGCGGTGTCAGTAAAGGAAGGGGGTGTTTGAACTAGGGATGAAGATTTCCTAAGACTGAAGCAGGGAAGTGCCTCCAGCATAAGGGCCTAAGACAAAGATACTGGAGCAGAGAATATCATAAAGTTGAGGAACAACAGAGGCTCCAGCCCCAGAGCTGATGGCTGAGAGTTCATAGGAGCTAAGGCTGTACATTCAAAACTCAGCCAAACCCGGAACCGTGAATGCTGAGCTGAGTGAGACAGACGTTATTGTGAAGCAATAGGAAGGCACTGAATGTTTGGGAAGAAGTTAGTTAAATTGAATTTCTAAATTAAATTGCATTATTAATTCTCGATTTTAGCAAAGTTCAAATCTTCCATAATATAAATTAATGACTTAAAAATACTAGTAAAGGGCCCTCCCTAGTGGTGCAGCGGGTTAAAGCGCAGCACTGAGAAGCTAAAGCCACTTCCTCATGAGTTCGATTCCCGCCTGCCCCAGAGGTGACCACATGGAGGTGACCACATGGCGTGGCAGACCTCTCCTGACCCGCCCGCTGCTCCCCTCAGCAGTGTACTTTGTCGATCTGCCTGTTCTGTTCCCCACTCTGTCTCTGGTGAATCCTTTCACCGCCCCTGAGCCTCTGGCCTGTACCCCAGTTCTGTATGCACAAATAAATAAATCTTTAAAAAAATAAAATAAAAAAAAATACTAGTAAAACTGAGAAAGCTTTACCACCCTGAATTTTATTTTCAACCACATATATGGACTGCTATCGATAGTAAGCTTTTGATGTTTAGTAATCAAAATTAGCATATGTCAGCTGTGTTGCTATTTATACTTTTTGCAAAATGCTTATATTATTCTGGGTTATTTTACTCCATTTGGGGTTTTTATCTGTCAGTGCCGCCTTGATTGAGACAACATGGAGGGCGTGGCTCTGAAAAGAACACTGGCTCTAAAACTTGAGCATAACCTTGCACAGCTTACCTACCTGGCATTGCCTTCTAATAGAAAACACATACACATATATATGAGGTCTTAAGCAAACTCGAGAGCGACTGTCCACATTTTGCAAATGACACTAAGATTTAAGAGGATATCCTGAAATGTTTAAAAAAGG